TGATCTAACCCTAGTTTCGAACCAGGAGATCGGTTGAATCCCCATAACTCCTTCCAGTTCGATAGGAGCAGTGTTTAATTTGAGCCAGATCCAGCCAGAACAGGATCTGGGAACACTCTTATTTTGACAGGATGCGTTCCGGCAACTGCTTGCTCAGACTCTCAGGCTTACTAATAATAAAGTTATGAACAAATATGATCGTCTTGTCGTTTTGGGAGCCATGCTTGAACCATGTTGCTCATCTCTGCTGCTGAGACGATGAATAAATAACTCTGACACCTCCGCTGCTGTTTTTATGATGCTCTGGACGCTTGTCACCCACAGCACGCATGTGACAAAGAGCATAAACTCAGAGCAAGAGCGATACCTGACCCACTTTTGCTTTAACAGTTTTTAATTTTTTTTTTAGTTTGTCACAGCACAATTTTGATTTTTTTTCTAAATACAGAAGTCATGTTTAATAAATGTTAGGACTCTATTATTTGCTAACAAAATATATTATATGTCATTAAACAACTTGTCAGGCTCTTGTGAGCATGCGTGTTCCCCAGGACACCCCCCCCCCCAACAGAGTCAGCTAGCCTGCTATTTGCATTCCTACATCAGTTGGTTTACAAATTAAGCCCTAGAGAGGAGGCGCTTTTAGCCTACAGCTACATTCTCATTCTCACTCTAAACTGTGTGCCCAGAGTGTCTCCTACATTGCCAAAAGTATTTGCTCACCTGCCTTGACTCACATATGAGCTTAAGTGACATCAAATTCCTAATTCATAGGGTTCAATATGATGCTGGTCCACCCTTTGCAGCTAGACCAGCTTCAACTCTTCTGGGAAGGCTGTCCACAAGGTTTAGGAGTGTGCTCATGGGGATTTTTGACCATTCTTCCAGTGGTGCATTTGTGAGGTCACATACTGATGTTGGACGAGAAGGCCTGGCTCTCAGTCTCCGCACTAATTCATCCCAAAGGTGTTCTATCGGGTTGAGGTCAGGACTCTGTGCAGGCCAGTCAAGTTCATCCACACCAGACTCTGCCCTCCATGTCTTTATGGCCCTTGCTTTGTGCACTGGTGCACAGTCATGTTGGAAGAGGAAAGGACCAGCTCCAAACTGTTCCCACAAAGTTGGGAGCATGGAATTGTCCAAAATGTCTTGGTATGCTGAAGCAGTCAGAGTTCCTTTCACTGGAACTAAGGGGCCAAGCCCAGCTCCTGAAAAACAACCCCACACCTTAATCCCCCCTCCACCAAACTTTGCACTTGGCACAATGCAGTCAGACAAGTACCGTTCTCCTGGCAACTGCCAAACCCAGACTCTTCCATCAGATTGCCAGATGGAGAAGCGCGATTTGTCACTCCAGAGAACGCGCCTCCACTGCTCTAGAATCCAGTGGCAGCGTGCTCTACACCACTGCATCCGACACTTTGCATGGCACTTGGTGATGTATGGCTTGGATGCAGATGCTCGACCATGGAAACCCATTCCATGAAGCTCTCTGCACACTGTTCTTGAGCTAATCTGAAGGCCACATGAAGTCTGTAGTAGCACTATGCACTTCAACATCCGCTGACCCCGCTCGGTCAGTTTATGTGACCTACCACTTCGTGGCTGAGTTGCTGTCATTCCCAAACACTTCCATTTTCTTATAATACAGCTGACAGTTGACTGTGGAATATTTAGGTGCGAGGAAATTTCACGACTGGATTTGTTGCATAGGTGGCATCTTATCAGTTCCACGCTGGAATTCACTGAGCTCCCGAGAGCGACCCATTCTTTCACAAATGTTTGTAAAAACAGTCTGCATGCCTAGCTGCTTCATTTTATACACCTGTGGCCATGGAAGTGAATGGAACGCCTGATTCCGATAATTTGGATGGATGAGCAAATACTTTTGGCAATGTAGTGTACTCAAAAAACCAAAAACAAACTATATATATATATGTGTGTGTGTGTGTGTGTGTGTGTATATGCTCACGTATGATTGTGCAGTCATCCAGGCTGTCACATTGTAAAGTTTGCAGATGATACAGCGGTGGTGGGATGCATCACAAACAATGATGAGTCCAGCTACAGGCAAGAGGTGGAACACCTGGAGAGCTGGTGCAGAGAGAATAACCTTCACAGATGATGAAAGATGATTAAGGAGATGGTTGTGGACTTCAGAAGGAACAAACACAGCTGTACCCCCCTGAACATAAGAGGATCTGTAGTGGAAGTGGTCTCCAGCTACAAGTACTTGGATGTACACATGAATGACAACCTCAGCTGGAGCAACAACACCACCAGCCTGATGAAGAAAGCTCATCAGAGACTCTACTTCCTCAGACGGCTGAGGCGAGCTGGTCTGGAAGCTCAGTCCTCACCTCCTTCTACAGGTGTGCAGTGGAGAGCATCCTGTGCTCCAGCATCAACGTGTGGCATGGAGGCTGCACAGCTGCAGAAAGAAAAGCTTTGCAGAGAGTGGTGAAGGCTGCACAGAAGATGTTGGAGTCAGTCTCCCCACCATCACAGACATCTACACCTCCAGATGCAGGAAGAGGGCCACCTGCATCATGAAGGACCCCACTCACCCAGCACACACACTTTTTGCCCCACTCCCCTCAGGAAGGAGGTTAAGGAGCATTAAGTGTAGAACCACTAGACTGAGGAACATCTTCTACCCTGAGGCTGTTAGACTCATGAATCTCTAACTAGAATAATCACTGTGAAAAATCACATGTTGCTGCTGATCTGTTTCATGTTGCTGCTGATCTTTTTCATGTTGATGTGTTCATGTGTGCTCATCTGCTCACACAGACTCATGCTCATGTTCATGCTGCTGTTTGACGCAATGTTTTTATGCTATTAGTGCTTAGTGTATTTTTAATTGATGTTTTTCTTAGTTCATATCTTAGATCTTATTATTGTTTTTCTTTTACATTTTATTGTTGGATGTAACTGGGATCCTGTGCACATAATTTCGCTCCACCACGTGGTGCCAATGACAATAAAGAATCTCTGACTCTATATGCGGTATATGGTGCGTGTGTGTATATATATATATATATATATATATATATATATATATATATATCTTGATCCAAGATGGCGCCATGTACAGTCGCCCTGGCATTCTGGTGCGCTCTGTTTTTTTTGTTTTTGTGCGTTAATCATGCGTCTGCGTGCTCCTACACTCACGAGGAGCTACTAAACTTCAGAATCACAACCCATGAGGACATTACTCCAGTTTTATTAGTGCCTGCTGCAGACCTTGTGCACTTTTTGGCCAAAAGAGCGAGACTTCGCAGGAGGGGCAGAAGAGTCGGAGCGCTCGTGCGTCTCCGGAGGTGCGGTACACACACGCCTTTACCTGGAATATTCCTCTCCAACGTCCGTTCCCTCTACAACAAAATGGACGAGATGGCGCTCACGGACCAGATTACGAGTGTAGAGTGGACTTTTCCGGACTCCCTTGTTATTATCCTTGGAGATTTTAACAAAGCAAACCTCAGGCACGAACTACCTAAATATAAACAGTTTATTAAATGCCCGACCAGAGAGGGGAACACGCTGGATCACTGTTACACCACAGTGAGCGGTGCTTATAAAGCTGTGCCTCGTGCTGCCCTGGGTCTCTCAGATCATGAGATGATTCACCTCATACCTGCATACAGACAGAGACTGAAGCTCTCAAAACCTGTGGTGAGGACATCCAAAAAGTGGACCAGTGAAGCTGTGGAGGAGCTACGCACGTGTTTGGACACCACAGACTGGGACCTGTTCAGGGCTTCTACAGACAGTCTAGACGAATACACAACCACTGTGACATCATATATACATTTCTGTGTGGACAGCATCATCCCATCACGTTCCAGAGTCATTTTCAATAATGATAAACCCTGGTTCACATCCAAACTAAGACCGCTTCGTCAGCAGAAGGAGGCTGCTTTCAGAGAGGGGGACAGAGACAACTACAGATGTGCGAAGTATGGATTTAGCAGGGAGGTGTTGAAGGCTAAATCCAGGTACAACACACAGCTGGAACAACAGTTCTTTGCAAACGACTCTGCCTCTGTCTGGAGGGAACGACTTCTATTCACGCTTTGAAGTCAAGGACTCACATTCCTCCATCCTCTATTTGTACTCAATTCAGATCCTTTCAGATTCTACTTATTTCAGCCATTTTTCTACTTCTTTCAGTTTCTTTCTGCTAAATTCAGGGATTTTCTGACTTTCAGCTACTTTTATGCATTTTCTGTTAATTTCAGCAACTTAAAAAAAATTGTGCTAATTGTAGCTTTTTTCTGCTTTCCACATATTGTGCTTCTTTCTAATAATTGCGAGTTTGTTTTGCTACTTATTTATTGTACTTACTTCGTACTATTTATTGTACTGTTGCATATCTGCACGGTGTTGTATTTTTAGCACGTTGTGTGCATCATGGAAGAACGTTGTTTTGTTATATGTACCGTACTTGTACATAACTGAAATGACAAAACCTCTCTGGCTTTTTCAGCCCCTCTGTCAATTTCAGCTTATTTGGCTAATTTCTGCTATATTTAGCTTTTTCTCCACATTTCAGCTGTTTTTAATTTAGATTAGTTTTCCTGCTTTCAACAACTGCAATCTGTTCGAATTCAACTCGCATCAACAGTTCAGCAATGCAACCTTTTCAGCTGGAATCATTCAGCAGGAAGCATTCACTTCATTTTCACAGGAAATTACATTTATCTTATTCATTTAGCTTTTGTCAGTTCAACCTGAAGGGAACCACAAACAAAACAATGAGATTTTCTCCACTGTGACAAAAACAACTTTACTTTGGTCGAATTTAAAAGCAGAAACGTGACAATCAACAAAACACACCAAAGGAAAAGCAAAAAAGGAGCTACTGCTTAATTTTCTGTTGGAGTGAGTCTGAAAACATGAACGACACAACCAGAACCACTTTTTTATTTTATTTGTTCAAATCATGGTATCAGAGCAGAGCGGATATAATTTCATTTTTTACTCTGACTCTGGTTTTCTGGAGCTCTATGAAGACAGCGACGGGACAAAGATTTTCATGCAAAGCTTTTTATCTGAAAAATGTTTTTTACTGTCGTTTCACCTGTTTAAAGAGTTTTCAGTTGTTGCAACTAAATTTAAAACTTTGGCTGTAAATGCAAAAAAAAACAAATAAAAAAAAATAAAAAAAAGAGAGACAACTTTCCATCATTCTTATCAGCATCAGCTCCATTCAGTCAGGATCTCAATCCATATTCACACATCCAAAAAACAAAAAGTGAAGCCATTTTATAAATAACACAAACAGGAAGTCAGAGTTCAACCACAATGTTGGTCCCAGACGTCTGCCAACGTTCAGGACTATGTGCACACAGACCAGGGAGCACATGTCTCAGAATCCATGGATGATATTTGCTACTGTTGGACTAAAGGACGCCAGAGGGTGAGTTGGTGGGATTTTAGTCTCCTTGGTCTTCATTAAGGCTTCACCGGCTGGATGGAGAGCAGGGTGCCAAACTTAAAGTGTTGGATCACCGGGAACTTCTCCAAACACTGAAATACAACAGAACCAAGAGAAGTTAAGCTAAGTGCTAACATGTCAGGTTAATAAAGTTACATAAAATCTTAATATAATGAATTCTTTCAGAAATCATGTTATTGTATAAAACAAATAAAGTCAATAAACAACACTGTTACAAGATGATTGGACATGTATCAACATGTGTCTCACTTTTACGATGGAGCTTTACAGCCACGCTAAAAAAAAAAAAAACACATTGCCACGCTAAAAAAAAAAAAAGCCATAAAATTACGGGAATAAAGTCGAAGAATTACGATAAAAGTCGTATGATACTTTTTTTGTTTTACAGCTGTTGTAGAATCTAAGAAACTTTATTAATTTGATAATCTGTTTAATAAGGCCAAAAGCAAATGTCTTAACTTACAACAACTGTGTTCAACAGAACTTGCTTTTAACAGATTCTGAAATGTGCTTGAGCTGACCTGTACTTGTTTATCCAAAAAAGTGCAATCTGGTCCTCTGGATAAAAAAAAAAAAAAAAAAAAAAGACATGTCCAGAGGACCAGATTGAAATTTTTTGGATTTTTCCACCTGGATTATTGAGCATGCATCAGGATGTACTTGTTTATCTTCCTGGAATTTCTGGGCATAAGATCAACTGCTTGTATAAGACCGTTTTCCATCAGAACTGTTTTAACAACCTGAGTGTTCATGTCAACCTGACCTGATAGGAATTTGTTTTCTGTGTCCCAATGCCGGGAAAAAGGGGTGTGTTTATCTTACGGGAAATTTGTGTGTCAAATATCTTGTCACAAACCCAGGAAAGTGTCTCCAGTAATACTGATTGGTCGAATAACATCGTCTTATATGGAAATCTGCAAATGCCAGATAACAACTCTTTTGGCAAAAACAAGTATGTTCGTGTGCTGGTCTTTACATAAGCCGGAGAGTATAAAAGTGAGCAGAAACTGTGTTTAGGTAGGGGTTTTTTCTTTTGAGGTCCCGAGGTATTTTCTGGCTGTTCCGCCTTAGTGGCTAAGCTTCAAATAAAACCCCCATTTTGCTGTCGAACAGAACCAAGGTGTCTACTGTTTTATTTAATGAACCCAAGAGTACTAATATAGATGCCACTACATTTTGGCGCAACCAACATGGAAATGAGTCTTTGGGAAACTTCTAGTCTTCTTTTCAAAAGCGTGAATCCAGGATTTTGGGCCCATATTCAAGGTAATTATGATTTTTTTTTTAATAAAAGATTCCTGTTCACGTCTGCTGCTGAGGTGACCGGACCCCAGGCTTTTAACCAGACACTGTTTGTTTCTGTATTTATAGCAAAAAAAATCCTTTAAATCTGTCGACAGATTGCTGCTGAAAAAATTACAAGTGAAATCTAAAAATAGTAATGCATTGTGCAGTGTAAGCGAACAGCAACAATTTTGTGAAATTGGGAAAAATTCAGCTGTGATAATAAAAAAAAAAAAAAAAAAACAGAAGCCAGAGAACGGAACAGGAGATTCCAAAGTGACAGCAAAGAGTTGCTGATTTTGTGCCAGACAAGGGGTTCTGGAATTTAGGACAAGAGGTCCTTGTGTTTTTTGAGACAACAGAGAGTCGGTCTATATTGTGTTATGATTTTTAAGATGAGAGATGTCTATTGTGTCGGATCCCAGAAAACATGTAAAAGTGTTTTCTGAAGAGCTAAGCTATATTTTATGTTGTGTGAATGAATGTGAAGTGGTTGTAGGCCTGAAGTAAATATATAAAATAACCAGTGATAAATACCGGTACATAATTTTATTGACTAACATTTTAACTTTTAAACTTAAAAAAAAGTAAATAAATAAATAAATCATAATAAAATAAAATGCAATCTCTAAAATAAATGATATCATTAATTTTTATGTTGATAAAAGGAGCTCCATAAAATAA